AGTCTCGCCTATCTGCCTCCCATAGTTGAACGCATGGTTACACTTCTACCTATAGTAGGATAAGCAAGTATGCTCTGTTTCTGTCTTTTCAATAGCTGTGTCAATAGCATTGTTTTTTTTATACTGTTCTCTAGAGTAAGGAATGAAAAGTTAACATTGTGTATTACTTAATATTTTCATTGTAAAACAAGTTTATTAAAACAACTCCTGCTTTGATTTATTTCAATTCAGAGTATGCTTCATCTTGTTTTGCTCTAAAGAATCTATCAGAACTGTATGAATCCAATTGCTCTGAGAATGGCTATGAAAGCAGCAGCCTTTTCATGAGTATTTTTTTTTTCAATTAGTTTTGATTAGACATATAGACAATAGAAAGATTGGCCTAGAAACTGCTCATGGAGATTATCCTGCTTTCTACAACCTAGAGACATACCTTAATTTAAATTAGGTATTATATAGGTGTGTAAGTTTCATTATGACTTTATTAGGAAGTTGTTTTAAACTTCTGCTGTAATTAAATCAAAGTTAGAAGCTATCTTTGAATCAATATCTATTTTTCTATCTTTTGTAATTTCCTTTGGAGAGGTTGGTCTCATGACTGAATTATCCCGGTTTGGTTATACTTCTCATTCATTTGGTTGGAAGGTATTTTGTAGGTGCTCTGCGAATCTGTTAGCTTTCTGTATTTCTACCCCAACGGATTAGAGCATTATGTACAGAGGCTTTCCATAGGGAATACTCAGTGGATTTACCGTTTGTCCACTCACTAAGGTACTTTTTTTTGTGAAAAAACACTACAAAAAGGGGGTTTATTAATAAAAAAATCTGATCAAGAGTTGATCAATGAGTAATTTTGTTATAACCTAACTTAACTAGGGTTGCAATCTTAAAAGCTAAATTTCTACTAGCTAGTATATCTTAGCGTACAATGCTTTGCTTTGTTATTAACACAATCACGTGGCTCAAAAGGTTTCACTCTCTTAAGTCTTCTTGTCAGGTTCGTGTTGTCAAGAAGCTGAATTGCCTCAACGTTCACATGTTGGTGGATCCGTTGTTTGTGACTCCTAGCGAATCTGGTCAACAATGTTCATCTGAAGGTCTCGATGAAGGTCGCTGTTTCTAATGTACCAAGGAGCATCGATAATATTCCTTAATACTTTGTTCTGGAATCTCTAGGTTATTAGAACATTACTGTAGCTGGCACAACCTCAGAGCTGAATGCCATAGATCCAAATTGGTTTGAGAACTTGTTTATATAATAGAATTTTGTTATATGTAGATAGGCTGAAATGCCTACCAAGTAACCAGTACATTTTCTTGAATTTTATATCTGTCTTGTCTTTTCTTTTTAACATGGACCTTCCAGCGAAGTCTTGCATCTAATGTAATACCTAGATATTTTGCCGAGTTAGCATAAGGGACATGAGTATTATATATGTTAATTGGTATTCTTTAACCATTTTTGTTAGTAAAATTAATATTAACAGATTTGGTTTCGTTTAGTTTAATACGCCATCTTTTGGTCCAATTATTTATTTGATTAACTGATGTTTGTAGTTTATTTGCAGCCTCTTCATGATCTTTGCCTATCGTTAGGATGGCAAATGTAGCTATTGTGTCTTGTTCTATTGGGGTATGTCACAAGTGTATAACAGATACAAAGTGAGTCCAGGACGCTTCCCTATGGTACTCCTGCTTTAATTTCTTTCAATTCATAGTATGCTTCATCTTGGTTTACTCTAAAGAATCTATCTGAAATGTATGAATCCAATATCTCAGAGTATGGCTGTGGAAGTAGAACATTCAGTTTATGTTTTAAGCCATCATGCCATACTTTATCAAAAGCCTGCGCAACATGGAGGAAGATGGCTGATCAGACTTCTTTGTTTTCTAATGCTTTTTCAATCGCATTTGAGATTCCATGAACCTGATCTATAGTTAAATGGTTTTCTCTAAAGCTGAATTGGTAATCTGGAATAAGTTTCCTATCTTCAATGATGGGTTTCAGTCTCTTTATTAGTATTTTTTCAAATAGTTTCGATATTATAAGCAATAGAGATATTGGCCTATATGACGAAACTTCGTTCGGAGGTTTTCCTGGTTTGTGGATCATAATGACTACTTTCCACAATCTAGGGACATACCTTAGTTTGAATGAGGCATTAAGCAGGTGTGTAAGTTTAATTATGGCTTTCTTCGGAAGTTGTTTAGATATTTCTCCTGTAATTAAATCAAAGCCAGGAGCGTTCTTAGGATTAATATTTGTTTTTATATCTTCTGCAATTTCCTTTGGAGTGGTTGGTCTAATAATTGAGTTATCTCTCTCTAGAGGTTCGGTAATTCATTTGGTTGGAAGGTATTTTGTAAGTGCTCTGTGAATCTATTAATTTTTGTACTAAGGTACTTACTAATAGATTCATTTTTGATTCGTTTTATCTCTCTTTAACTGCTTGGTGGCGTTATTAAGGTTGGTTTCATCTGATGGAGCTCTGGTCTGATACCATTTCCTCCATAGTTTTCTTTTGGCAGAATTAGGCCCCTTATTTTCTTTTTCGTTATACATATACATACTATTAAATTGTATATAGATTTGTTGAAATCACATTGAAATTATTTATTGTAATTATAAAACACCTCTTCTATATGTTTTATACCTTTTTTAAATTTATTCATCGACAATCCTTCAATATGGTTCGGTAATTTATTAAATGACTTTATTGCAGAATAATTAGTGGCTTGTTGCGTTCTGTTTAAACGATGGCGTGATAAACAGATATAATATTTACCACTCTTCTCTGGTATGGAAGAGATACGGATAATCTGAAACTTTCATTTAGTTGAGGCTCCGACTAAGTTTTAACACAAGCAAGACAAATTTAATATCTTTTAAATTTACAAAAGGTGACCTTCGTCTTAGTGAACGGTTGATACTTTTGGGTCTCTACAAGAATTAAGTAATCTCTACTTTTTACTAATATAGAGACTCATTTGAGGTATGGGGAAACTGAGCAGAATATCTTCTTAACTCGGTATTTATTTAACAAAAAATATTTGCAAGATTCTTAGCCAGACGTGGTTATAGGACTCATTATAAACGTCTTTTAATTAATTATAAAATATTAACTGCAACTAGTTTATTAATTATTTATTCTAGAGTTTGCATAATTTATTAAACAGGGACTTTATTATAAATCGTAAATATTTATGTCATTTACTAGAAAATAGGCGAATATAGCCCGAAACAGGATTAACTATTCTCATGCATTCATATGAAACATTGCCCTTTACACATTTATAGGTTAGAATTATTCATGAACAAGTTGGCACTTGTAGGTAATCTGCAGAGCATATTCACTTCGGCAAAAGTTTATATTACTGTTTCAGTAAATCTACACTTCTACGTTATCGTAACAGAATAATCAATTGAATAATGTTTAAATTGAAATGCGACCGGAATTGGAATTGTAAATTTGAAAAGAATAGAATGACCTTACTATTTTGAATGAATAATTTTGCTCTTGGTTTTAAATTACTTTTGAGATTCGGTAAAACAGTGCTCCAAAGTAGTTCAAAAGAAATGAAGACATTTATAATTCAAGTTTTATCAAATTTGTTTGTAAGTTGCTAGACTCGGCTTCATTACGATCTACTATTACGCGATTGGATAATAGCAGTTTTATATAATTCTTGAAAAATATTACATTATTCAGATATGTTCATTATTAACATTAGTTAATACTTTTGGGATATTATTATGAATTTAAATACATATTGATAAATATACAGAGTCTTCAACAATACCCGTATCTCACGTTAGTAAATTGATGTTATCAGTTAGCTAAAAGTACCATTTATTAATTCAGTTTACAGTAATTAAAATTACAAATTATTACATAAATATACATAATAACTTAAATATAAACCAGGTATCCTAATTACATAACAGTGCGACTTAAGTTCACTAGTAGCCTAACATTCAAAGTAATCAAGAACTTATAAATTAGAAGACAAAACTTTTTACTTAAAATTACCAGCAAATGATTTAATATTAATAGTTAAAGAAACAAATACTGAAAATGAAAAAAATTTAGGATTAGAGGACATTATATTTATAAAAGACTAGCTGATGTTCGCCCGCTTCGCTGGGCACATGATAAAATTTGATCTTGAAACCTAGTCGTGTGATATGAATAAAAAGGGTTAGATAATGCAAATAATTTCCAATATTCAAGATAATAAAATTATATTATTCTCAATTTTAAACAATGGCAATTTTTGTAAATAATTAACACAATTTTTATTTTTTATATAAACTATCAGTATCTCTCATTAAAGTTAATAAAATAATTTAACTACAAACTTAAAACTTCCCTGTAAACAACGTTCTTCGTTTTCTTTTCTGGCTGAAGAATGACTAAGTTGTCCGGTGAACTGACTCTTGAACACGCCACGTAAAACTGACCATGAGAAAAACAATCACTTCTCAGATCCACACCAGCCATTCTCAAACTCTGCCCTTGCGCTTTATTGATAGTCATGGCATAACAAACTCTAACAGGATATTGAAGACGTTTGAACTCAAAATAGTAATCTGTTAGAATAAGAGGAATCCTCGGGATGAATACAACTTCTCCTTCATATTTTCCTGTTAAAATTGCAGCTTCAATAACATTTTTATGCAGACTTTTAACTTGAAGTCTGGTGCCATTACATAGTTTTGGAGGATTCAAATTGCGCAGTAGCATTATTGGTGCCCCAATTTTAAGATTGGTGGTATTCCGGGTGAATTCAGTGTATGCAGAATAAACACTTGAAGGATGTCAAGTTTGGTTCCAAAGAGGAAGTCATCGCAGCTATGGGTAATCGTTCTACTTCTATTTGAAGGGGTTAAGAAACCTGGAGACGCGTTTGCACATTCTCGTATATATAATTATGTAAATTTAATAAATATACATTTTTATATTAAAATTTTAATTTTAACATTTTCTTTTTTGTTGCAGGTCTTCTGGATTATCCTGGTAAGTCAAAACTTCTTCAAGTCTATTTTTCCGCTTTTTCCTGTGCCTTTCCTTCATTTTCTTTATTTCAGTTCTGGCTTCATTAAATTCTTTTAGTAATGCCTCCATCCTTACATTGAAAAAATTTCTGGAACTCATTCTTGAGTAATTTTCCAGTTTTTTGCATTTCTTTTAGGAATACCTTGTATATTAAAACCATAACTTTGTTTATAAGCGATCCCATTTGTTCACTTAAGTAGTTATGTCCAACTTTTAACCGCGCGCCGCCATTTCAGGACAGACACTAGTTTGATATCGCGAAAACAGATTTGCGGTTCCGTTTCTAGCTAGAACGTCTCCGTCATCATTCCTGTTAAATCCTGTTAGTTCACAGACTGGAATATTAATTTTTGGAGATAATGTTCCACCCTTCAGTGCCAAATATTTAAGAGCGCTAAATTTTCTCAAAGATAAGAAAATTTAAATTCTAGCAGATAAACTTGACATGCCGGTATTCCTGTTTTTAATAAAAACATTCTCTGGTTCACCGAATACCGACACGATATGCATTCTGCGCTAGTAGGCGAATTAGTACGCGTATGTATAACGTTCGTGAACAGTGAAATCACAATGGCATTATTAGTACCAGTCTGCGGAAGCAATGGGGATATTCAGTGACACAATATACTTACAATGTGAGTACCATAATTAATAATACTTGAAGGATTAAAAAGTAGTAAAATATTAAGGTTCATATCCCTTCTTTGATCGATTTCAGTTAATCGGTTGCTTATTGAATAATAATTATTTACTTAGTTTCCTCTTCACAGCGAGTTGATAGATATATTAGTCAGTTTTTAGTTTTAAGTCGATAATTTTTAACTTGTGGTTTAAGGCTACCACACTGATAACAATTTAATGTCATATTTTTGTATAAATTCACTTCATTAACTTAGTATTAACGCACCATTATTTCCTACCCATTACTTAAGATTTTCACCATTTCCATTGAACTCTGTATCATGTTTGATCAACATACTTTTCATACAGGCCTCATGACGGTCATTGACCGAAACTAGTTGCACTTAACCTCTGTTAAATAAAAAAAATTCTGTGGTTAAGACTTTGAGGTTTTCCTATCTTTCAAGGAGGAATTATTGTTCTTAAGAGCAGAGTACCCGACCCTATCTATATCCGAAACATGTAGAGGCTGAGTTACCCCACGGTACATAGGCATCACTAAGCCCACTGTGCATCCCCCCAAGATGATAGGCTCGTAAGCCAGCCTACAAATTTAATATAGTTCACAACGTCGCCAAGAGGCACTTCTCTTATATCGGCCGGTATTAGCCGAACTCTTCGAACACAAAACTTCTAATGAATGGAAGCGTCGGGCAATCATAGAGGATATGCTTGATAGTCTTATCTTCTTGCTTGCGCCCCCTACAGATTGCGGATTTTGATAACCCCATAATATGGAGGTGCTTCCGTACTTGGCAATGACCAGTCAGAATGCCTGTGTTCATGCACATATTCTGTCTTGTCATAGTCATGTATGTGTTTGCTGTAGTATTATCAGGCAACTCTGCAGTTTCTTGTTTCATCCCATCTTTTTTTGAATGTCACAAGAAAATGTTTTCTGATTAGCTGTATCACTACCGATGTTGTCAATCCAATAGAATGCCAAAAAGTAGTTGGTTGGCTTCCTTCTTGGCTGGTGAATCAGCATTAGGCGTGACCTTTAATACATGTTAATGTGACCACATTGTCGATGGGTACTTCGGTCAAAGCTTCGTGACATTCTATTACTAATCCTGCGTAAATTCGTAGTCTTTTCAGGAAGAGTAGTGCTTCTCTGCTATCTGTATAGATGAGCATGTGTCTTCTAGTGATATTGTTTCTGGTGATTGCATTTACTGCTATGAGAATCCCCGTGGACCCGGTTTGAACTACACTGGCGCTATTGTTTACAGCTCATGCTATGTTTAGGTTTAAGTATCTGGAATATAATCTACATCCATTGTTTTGTTTTAGAACCGTCGGTGTAGACAAAAATCGTACTTGCCACTTCCAGCTTTCCTATTTGTTCTGGTATAACTTCGTATGGCTTATGGAAGATATATCTCGGTAAGATGGAGTCCTTGTTCAATTGAAGCAGTGAAGCAATGTCTCGCCTTAACACATCTTGCATGAGATTATTACAACTGTGCGGAGACGTGTCATTGTCATCAGAGCAACCTCTTTGATGTTACTAGTAAGGGGAGTAAGACTAAAAATGACTTCCATGGTTCTTGTTTGTGTGGTTCTCTTGGCTCCTGTTACGTTGAGACATGCTGCTCTTTGAATTTGTTCTAAATTACGGATAGCTGTCCATTTTTGGATTTTCGTTCAACTGCACCGTATGTTAGCATAGGTCTTACGATGGCCGTGTAAGTCCATGCGACGACTCTGGGAACAAATCATACGGTTTTGCAGCATTTTTCATAAAAAATGTGTACTTTTTTGACTCTGTGTCCATATTAACTTGCTGTTAAAGGTGAGACCTAGGTGCTTCACCTATATTTGCAAAGTTTAGTTTTGTGTTTATGAGTTTTAATTCCATTTTTATCCCTTTCCTTGTGAAAAGGACAATTTCTGTTTTTTTGGGATTGATAGTCAGTATATGGTCCTTGCATCACTATTCTATAATGTTGAGAGCTACTTGTATTCTTTTGCAGAGTATGTTCTCAAAATTTGATGTTTGCAGAATGATCAGGTTATCTGCATACGCTATTGTGTAGTGACTGCCATTATTAATGCGGCTGATGAGGGTGTTGAGAACCATGTTCCACAGTAGAGATGATAGCACCCCTCCCTGTGGACATCCCCTCGCAACCAAGACTCTTATATTTACATCTTCTACTCTTATGTTTACTGCTCACTTTGAGAGCATGTTATGTATCCTTGGGCATAGTACCTGACCCTAAGTGAGCCTCTAAAGCTAAAAACGAACCAAAAATTTTCTCGCCTCAGAGAAAACGATTACTTACAAATGACGCCTGTTGACGGGACGGCTCTCGGGCGCCAGATTTTATGTGTGGTTTACTCCACAAACTTTCGAAACGGCGTCGAAAGTACTCGGGCAGCACAGATGGAGATAAAAAATTCCAGGGGTCGTTGGTCACTCAGACACAGGTAATAAGTAACCACAAGTAACGGGCTTTAATCGTGACTTGTGGTGATAAAGAATTTCTCACTGCTGAAATAAAGGGGGAAGTAAATTAGGGATCAGTAACCTCAGTAAGAGTCAAGGTAACGTTGACACATATATTGAATTTAACTATTTACAACAAAAAAAATAAATAAATATTTCAACGCCCACCCCCGCTCGTATTTTTAAAACCCTGAACAAAAAGAAAAACAAACAGATCGGCTTTGATTAGTCTCAATCAGACGGTATAATTAAAATTAAAAGAAAGATGACCGGTGGCAATAGTAACTAATTAATAAATTGTCGGTTCGGTGGTTGAGCCAAAACGAAACCAAAAACAAAATTACTATTTTAGTTAAAGGAGAAAAACGGCAAATAATTGCGGTCGTAGCAAAAGTTAGCTAGTTAACTGTTAAATCGGCAATAAGATTGAAGTTAAATATTGTGTTTCGTAAAAGTAGAAATAAAATCACGGTCGTAGAAAAAGTTATCTGGTTAACTATCTAGTCGGTATTGAAACTGAAACAAACCTCCTTGTGTTATTGAATAGGGAATAGATAAATGTGGTAAGAAAACGGGATAGTATCAATCCTATCAGGAGTGTACTCGCCAAAACCAGCCCGCTCAACATAAAAATGATACTATCATTTTAATCAAGGCGCAAAGGTAACTAAAAAAATAATCAAAAACCGGGTTAGTATTCAATCCTATGATGAGTGTACTCGCCAAAACCAGCCCACTCAAACATAAAACAAAATATCAAACCGGGTCAGTATTTATCCTATGATGAGTGTTCTCGCCAAAACCAGCAATCTCAAACATAAGAAAAACAACCGGTGTGAAGTTAGCAGTAACTTTTAGCAGTAAAAATAACCGACAACACCCGATCGCGAAAACAGTGGCGTCCAGCATACAACTATTTAAATAATCTTGTCAATATGTATTTTACACATTAATATTGACAAAAAATTAATATACTGTTGAAAATAACCCTTAAAATTGATAAAACTATTTATCCGACGAAGGAAATCAGATCGCAATTTAATTTTATATTTAAAAAATAAATACATTAACATACGCTATAGGTAAACATTTCTTCGGATCCATTAAACAGAACAGGGTAAAATTAACCCATTAAATTCATAAAATAATTATCCTGTGAAGTGTATTAAACCGGGTGAATTTAACCCTTAAACTTCAAAATAAATAATTACCCTATGAAGACGATTAGATCCCAACTTGCTTTTAAATTTAAAAAATCATAAATACACTCACCAAAATACACTGTTAGCGAAAATCCCTTCCGACCCGTCAAACAGGGTGAAATTAACCCTTCAACATTAAAATAAATAATTACCCTATGAAGACGATTAGATCCCAACTTCGTTTTAAATTTAAAAAATCATAAATACACTCACCAAAATACACAGTTAGCGAAAATCCCTTCCGACCCGTCAAACAGGGTGAAATTAACCCTTCAACATTAAAATAAATATTTACCCTATGAAGACGATTAAATCCCAACTTGGTTATAAATTTAAAAAAACTTAAATACACTCACCAAAATACACTGTTAGCGAAAATCCCTTCCGACCCGTAAAACAGGGTGAAATTAACCCTTAAACTACAAATTAAATAATTAACCTATGAAGACGATTAGATCCCAACTTGGTTTTAAATTTAAAAAATCATAAATATACTCACAAAAGTACACTGTTAGCGAAAATCCCTTCCGACCCGTCAAACAGGGTGAAATTAACCCTTCAACATTAAAATAAATAATTACCCTATGGAGACGATTAGATCCCAACTTGGTTTTAAATTTAAAAAA